TGAACTAAATAATGGTGACAATAGGGTTGAGTGTTTATGGGTAAGAATCAGGGGGAGGGCAGATTAAAAAAGGCAGACATCGTAGTAGGAGTCTGTTATAGACCACCCAACCAGGATGAGGAGGCAGATGAAATATTCTACAAAAGGCTGGGAGAAGTCTCAAGATTGCGAGCTCTTGTCCTTGTAGAGGACTTCAACTTGCCAGATATCTGCTGGAAATACAATACAGCAGGGAGGGAACAGTCTAGAAGGTTCCTGGAGTGTACTGGGGATAACTTCCTGACGCAGCTGGAGAGGGAGCCGACTAGAGAAGGTGCCCTGCTGGACCTGCTGTTTGTAAACAGGGAAGGGCTTGTGGGGCATGTGATGGTAGGAGACTGTCTTGGGAACAGTGATAATGAAATGATAGAGTTTTCGATTCTGGGAGAAGCAAGGATGGACATCAGCAGAACTGCTACCTTGGACTTCCGGAGGGCAGACTTTGGTCTTTTCAGGAGCCTGGTTGACAAAGTCCCTTGGGAGGCAGTCCTGAAGGGCAAAGGAGTCCAGGAAGCCTGGATGTTTTTCAAGAAGAAAGTCTTAAAGGCACAGGAGCAGGCTGTCCCCGTGTGCCGAAAGACAAGCTGTCAGGGAAAAAGACCAGCCTGGCTGAACAGGGAGCTAGGGTTGCAACTTAGGGAGAAAAAGGGGATTTATGGCCTTTGGAAGGAAGAGCAGGCCACTCAGGAGGACTACAAAGAGGTAGTGAGGCTATGTACGGAAAAAATCATGAGGGCCAAAGCCCAGCTAGAGCTAAACCTGGCTTCTGTTGTCAAAGACAACAAAAAAAGTTTCTAGAAATATATTAGCAATAAAAAGAGGACTAAGGATAATCTCTGTCCTCTAGTAGATTGGGCCGGTAACATAGTGACCAAGGATGAGGACAAGGCTGAGGTACTTAATGCTGTCTTTGCCTCAGTCTTCAGCAGTAGGACCATTGTTCCCTGAGTACCCAGACCCCTGAGCTAGAAGACAGGGATGGGGAGTAGAATGAAGCCCCTGTAATCCAAGGGGAAATGGTGAGGGACCTGCTTCAGCACTTGGAGGTACACAAATCTATGGGCCCAGATGGGATGCACCGGAGGATACTGAAGGGGCTGGTGGAAGTGATCACCAGGCCACTTAGCATGATTTATGAGCAGTCCTGGCTAACCGGGGAGGTCCCAGCGTTGGCAAACGTGACATCCATCCACAAGAAGGGCCAGGAGGAGGATCCAGGGAAATACAGGCTGGTCAGTGTGACCTCGATGCCTGGGACGGTCATGGAACAGACCATCCTCAGTGCCATTACACGTCACATTCAGGAGAACAGGGTGATCAGGCCCAGTCAGCATGGGTTTACGAAAGGCAGGTCATGCCTGACCAACCTGGTCTCCTTCTATGACAAGGTGACCCACTTAGTGGATGAGGGAAAAGCTGTGGATGTTATCTGTCCGGATTTTAGCAAAGCTTTTGACGCTGTTTCCCACAGCATTCTCCTGGAGAAACTGGCTGCTCATGGCCTGGACAGGTATACTCTTAGCTGGGTAAAAAACTGGCTGGATGGCCGTGCCCAGAGAGTGGTGGTGAATGGAGTTAACACCAGTTGGTGTCCAGTCACAAGTGGTCTCCCCCAGGGCTCGGTGCTGGGGCCAGTTCTCTTTAATATCTTTATCAATGATCTGGATGAGGGGATCGAATGCACCCTCAGTAAGTTTGCAGATGACACTAAGCTAGGTGGGCGTGTTGATCTGCTTGAGGGTAGGAAGGCTCTGCAGAGGGATCTGGACAGGCTGGACCGATGGGCCGAGGCCAATGGTATGAGGGTCAACAAGGCCAAGTGCCGGGTCCTGCACTTGGGTCACAACAAGCCCATGCAGCACTACAGGCTTGGGGAAGAGTGGCTCGAAAGCGGCCCAGCGGAAAAGGATGTGGGGGTGTTGGTGGCCAGCCGGCTGAATATGAGCCAGCAGTGTGGCCAAAAAGGCCAATGGCATCCTAGCCTGTACCAGGAATAGTGTGGCCAGCAGGACTAGGGAAGTGATCATCCCCCTGTACTCGGCACTGGTGAGGCCTCATCTCGAGTACTGTGTTCAGTTCTGGGCCCCTCACTACAAGAAGGACATTGAGGTGCTGGAGCGTGTCCAGAGAAGGACTACAAAGCTGGTGAGGGGTCTGGAGGATAAGCCTTATGAGGAATGACTGAGGGAACTGGGGGTGTTTAGCCTGGAGAAGAGGAGGCTGAGGGGAGACCTTATCATCACTCTCTACAACTACCTGAAAGGAGGTTGTAGAGAGGTGGGGGCTGACCTCTTCTCCCTGGTGAAAAGTGATAGGACGAGAGGAAATGGATTCAAGTTACATCAGGGGAGGTTTAGATTGGATATTAGGAAACATTTTTTCACTGAAAGGGTTATTAGACATTGAAATAGGCTGCCCAGGGAGGGGGTGGATTCGCCATCCCTGGAGGTGTTTAAAAAAAGGGTAGATGTGGTGCTTAGGGACATGGTTTAGAGGTGGTTTTGTCAGGGTAGGTTGATGGTTGGACCTGATGATCTTAAAGGTCCCTGCCAACCTTAGCAATTCTATGATTCTATGATTCTAATTAAATCACATGAATTAATTAAACCAGTTTCAAGGGGACAATTCACTGGCATTTAGAGACAAAATCCCCCTTCCTTCTTCTACCTTCTACCACAAATGCAACTTTTAAAGAATCTACAATCAGGATCTTTGTCTTTGCAAATGTAGATACTATTAAAATATAAATTTATGCACCTGTGAACTTTCCAATTACATAATGAATCAATAACAAGACTGATAAGACTGTGTCCAAAGACTGATAAGATTGAGAAAATCTATGTATTTTTTTATTTCATATACTCTTATCTTTTCTGAATTAATTTTGTTCTCATAAAGGTATTGTGTAGGATTTTTTTTTTTTTTGCTGCTGAAACTGAAATGGTGGGACACGTTGAATGAAAATATGACACTATAAATCTTGAGTATAAATCTTGAATTTTTCAACATGGACTTTCAGGAAAGTCAAGTCTGTGATCTCATGCTACTTGACTTCACAATTACAGTATTCACAAGAAAGAGAGAGTTTAATGTATCATTATTATTATTTATTTTTTTTTTAGCCAAATGTCTTTGACCAAATAGTGGCTGTGTCTTAGAACATCTCTTGCTCTTGCAAGAAGAAGGACCTCAAGATCCATCTTTAACTGCAATTATTCGTAGTCTTGTATAGGTACTGAAAAAAGCATGAGCTTGTGCATATCAGGTCAAAAGTAGACATCTTCCAAGAAAACTGGTGTGAATGTTTGTGCGTCAGGGTACATTTGATGAGTTCCCAAGGACAAAAATTGACTAAAGCATTGGAGAACCTTTCGAATGTTAAGAAAGGAGCAGGAGTAACTGGTGGTTACTTTTTGGTAACTGGTGATTAGACATTTCACTAGCTTCTGAGTGAGCTCAATCTACCTGTGATCTCTGGCATAATTACCTTTTTAGACAGAAAGGACACATCAGTGTCATTTCCTCAGTGATAAGAAAAAAAAAAAGAAAAATATTTAAAATAATAATATAAAATAGGTTTATTTTTCATCTGATTCAGCGTATATCAGTGAGATTTTTAATCCTAGCAGCTATACAGAGTCAAAACCTTTTTTAAAGAATGTAAATTCTTCACAGATACATTCTGATTTCTGTGTTGTTTATGTTTTTTCAAGTTATTAACATTGGGAGGCTACAGATATGTTCAGTGATTCTTGGAAATGAAGAAGTGATTTGAGTTTCTTGGATGCCATTGCTGTTCAGATAATGTCATATTTTATTTTATTTCATTTTATTTTTCGTAAGATGATAAGGACCATAATTGGAGCTTACAGAGATGCTTCCACGGTTGTCTAAGTACTTTGTCTGGTTTTATGTGCTAGGTTAATTAGTCTAACTAAGCATATCTTAGGCAATAGTTGGTCTGGAGCGTCCTGATAAATAATGGGGCTGTACTTCTCATATGTTTTTATTTGCTGTGTTGGTAACCTGATTATCTGTATTTTTATTTAGTCCCTGTTTGGCTAATAAGGATATCATGAACCAAAGGAAGTAAATTGTATTTTCCAGTGTAATGATTTCTATATTGAGATTGTTTTATTTTAAAATTATTTCATTAGCTAATTACTTTAAGTTTGATAAATATAATCTCCAGACTTTTCTCTGCTGTTGCAGAGAATCTTGCTTTTGGTTTGTTTTACATTCTCTTTGGAAGGGGGCTGTTTCTACTGCCCCCATAGTCTGTGTGATTTTTCTTTTCCCCCACTGTGCTTTCCTATTCTTTTACCTGGAGTGTTGATTAGTAGTTTTACAAGGTGTTCTTCTAAAAGCAGCATAAAAATATGTCTCTCCATCATAAATGGAAGAATACTCTTACTTTATTCTTCAGTTTATGAAGGCCACACTGTCTGGCATAAGTTAGAAGAGCCCTTATATGGATTAGAGCTCTGCCTGCTGAAGCAGAGCATCAGAGAAGCGCTCTGGGAATAAAAGGTTCAGTTAAAATGGCTCAACTTAGAGGTATAAAAATTAGTTGGGAGAAAAAATGCTGCTTTGGTGATGGTAGGAATTTTTACATTAATAATTCTTTCATCCTGAAGCTCTTTTATCATGTACATTGAAGCCCACACCTGAAATTTGTCGTGTCAAAAAAAAAAAACCAAAAACCAAAAACCACCCCAAAAACCACCCAAACAAACTAAACCAGGCAGAGTTATAAACCTTAGAAAAATGTTAACTGTTCTTACACGCAGTAAGTATGAGTGTTAGTATATATGATGGAGGTTATACTATAGAACATGATACATAGTTTGAATAATAAAAATTTGTCTGCCTACCCAGAGTTACCGTCTCTTAGACCTCTTCTTGAGAACTGGTCCATATGCATGGTTTTGCCAAAAAGCCTGTGGGTGTGCTCTGGGCGAGGTCTGCATGGGCCTGGTAAAGAGCAATTTTTCTGAGCTATGAGGGACTGGAAATGTCAGCAAAGCATAGTTTGCGGAGAAAAAACAACCCAACTCTCTTATTAGACCAACTGATGTAGTTGAGGGATGGACAGAAAAGAGAAACTTTTGGATGTCACCTGCAGTTCTGCCTCCAAGCACTGCAGGGAAAGACCTATTCAAGCATTCTTACCAGAGCCGAGCAAACATTTCTTATACAACCTCCTATACACCCTGTACCACTCAAGGCCACCAAGAAGATGACAAATCTTAGATTCCTGTATCAGTCTCTTAAAATAGAAGAAAGAACGGTGGTTCCTGGCATTTTCAAGTATTTACAACAATTTATCAACTTAAGACCAAAGTTGCACACTGGCAGAGAGATTATCATTCTGTCAGACAGGAAACTTTTAATTTTGTTGTTTCTTGAAAGGATGCAGTTGGGTGAGAGGGGGTCTCACAGCTCCTCAGCACTCCGGTTGAGGCTAATGATTAAAATAGGAATAAGGATCTAAACAAAAATTACAAATCAATACCTCTGTGTATATCTGTAGGTGGGAGCCACATCAGCTTGAAACAAATCCTCTTTAGTGTTTTTCACAGTGATAGGTAGTTTATGTAGAGAATATGGAGGTAGCTTGTAGCTTTGGAAGAAAGGAAGGATTCTGTAACTTTCCATGGTTCACGAACAGCATGCAACATTTCCCTTCACAAGAAAAATCAGTATCTTCTGGATCCATTCCCACACCCTCCAGTACATCAACAGCTTTCTCTCAATTACCTTCTGGCTCAAGTGGATAAAGGGCGGCAATCACCCTTTTTGACAGGCCTTTAAAGATGCTTTTTTTTCCAGATCACTTCCAATAATAACTGTAATTTAAACTTTTATGATAAAAGCATAGTAATGCTTTAAAATATCTCAGGTATTTTTCTAGAAAAGGTGATGTCATTCTTTACATCAGCAGCAAGAATAGTCCACTCATGCTTCAGTCTTTGCTTGCTGATAAGCAGAAGAGGAATTAGAACATTAGTCAATATTTTTATATTTAAAATGAATTATTTTCCTCTGTTCTATTATCTTTGTCATTAGTTTCCATTTTCCAAAAGTATTTCAATTGCCAAATTTGGCCTTTGGATGTATTTACACTGTTCTAATAGGACTTGCATGTATCTACTTGAGAACAGAATTTGATTCGTGGGTAAGTACTTCAATTTGCCTGAGGTGCACCAAGATAAAAATTTTGATAATTCCCAAGCAGCTGTCTAAAAACTTTCTTGAGGCATTTTCTCTGTGGAAGAAAAGAAATGCTTCAT